TCGGTATTATCTTTGCGTTTCTGTATTAAACTTCGCGTAAAGTTGTCGAAAAACTTTCGTTCATTACTTCCGTGGCGTACAAAACGTCGGTATATATTAGTGTTTACTATCGCTGACGGCAATAACATTTCTAACACGCCTTTCCACACAGGAATGTGGCGTAGAGTGAACGCACTGGTAGTGAACGGGTTGTTAGGGTCGGCGTATGTATTGGTTTTGGTGGCGAAGGCGCAGCTGGCGATCACATCCATAGTGTAGGCGCCCATCAGTCGCTTCAACTCGACTTCATTCATACCATTCGACACATCCTTATCCACGCTATTGAGGAAGTCATCGCAACACCGGCTGATCAGAGGTACATTCGCCTCATCTTTCCCGACGTGAAGGTAGGGCTGACTATAACCCGGACTCGTCGCCAGTTGTCATCAGTGGTCGCCAGACTGGAGGCGCCCTCTTTCGTGGATCGGTTACGAAATGTGTGAAAATCTTTCACCAGAATCTGTTTGATGAGCTCTGGGACGGCCACTGTTAGCCTGGGCTGCCCTAATATGTATGTCCTGTACGTACACTCAAAAAGGTGTCATAAAAAAGGTTTTAAATTTGGTTTTTATGTTCAATAACTATAATTACCCATAAATTTTGCCGTATTTCTTATACCACTCCAACTCCACTAATGGTCGAGGATTTAGTGTTAAAGTTAAGAGGTTTCCGAATATAGGGATGGGGTTTGGACCACATATGTGTCGATCCCTCCAATAGTTGAAGGCATTCCTCCACGAACTCATTGGATGAATGAATAATTTCATGAATTATTGTTTTAAATTAATTTAAATTTTTAAAAATCTAATATAATATGCATATTATTTCTTACAAGTAGTAGTACGCGATCGTCGCCACTATAAGCCTTATGAGACACCACTCGTATGTCTGGCAAATCGGTGCCAACACTGACCCCAACATTATTGTCATAACAGACTTGATGTATAATAAATAGGCTTTTATTTAAACTTTAACGTGTAAATTAAAACTTACTTAAAAATGTAATATTAAATAGTTTGCCCTTTAATATAATAAATGTATTTATAATATACAAAAGATCAATCGATGAATAAAAATGAATGACTATTGATAAATAATTTGTGATGAATTTAAGCTAAGAATTCTAAGTTTGAAAACTTTTATTAGTTTGAATGATTAAACTCTGCTTTCAATGTAAAATTATTTATCAATAGTCAT